CCCTAAACCCTAAACCCTACGCTTAAACCCGGCTACATCTGCACTTCCTGGCCATCCCTGCTGCGCGCAAGAAGGCTCTGCAGGTGGTGCCTTGCAATCAAGATCCAGTCTAGACGGAGGAGTTCTCGGAACCTTCTCCGCACCTAAGCAAGAAACCCTGGATATAAAATCTCGCCGGGCGCGGGATTGCAGGTGTAGCTTGGTTCTTACCAAAACACAGAGGTTACATGTGTGTAAAAGCGGTGTTTTACCGGAATCGGGTGTTTACTGCAAAGAACAACTGGTTAGCCTGAAATCTGCAGGGCCCCATGCGCGGCACAAGTATGTTTGGTAATTGCCGAGTCATTGGTCAGTTGTTGGAGTTTCAGGGATGCGTGGTTGGAATCTGATTGGATTGATCCAGTCTTGCAGCAGTGAGGGACCATACTAAATACCCAGCACCACTAGTACTTGTACTGTGCCACAGTCGCAGCAGCAGCAGAGCTAGTCGTAGCAGTATCGGTCAAAGTAGTTAGTAGTAATTAGTCACTAGTCATGACGAGAATGGTGAGCAGAATCATAGCACTACATACAATCGTCACGACGGAACCCCAGAAGGCAGAGGCTTCCACCGGCATCAGGGCTTTCACGAACCCTGGTTTCCCCGGCGGATGTTCATCGTTCACGCCCTTGTGGAATTAGGGTCAAATGGGCCATCCATGGCTTGTTGAGCCGTTTTTTGTTGCCACCATGCTTATAGCCGCCAAGGGGCAGCTTCAGGCGCTGAGCCGCCAGTGGCTGCGGCGATGGACCGTCAGTAGCGGCCAAATTTCAACTTTTAACAATGAATAGTGTCTCAGGGGACTGGTCTCGTCACCGTCCATCCACGAGGTGTCGATGCACTTGGGGCCGACACACAGGTATAAATACGATGGCGGTTTTCATGAGTCTGAGACCTGACTGTCTTATGTACTTTTCGGGTGCAGGTACTCTTATCTGACGAGCTGGGTCTGGGGTTCAGAGGTGCCTCCGGCTGAGGAGCCAAAACTTCAACAATCAGGCGGCGGTGTTGTTTGAGATTTGCACTCGTGTTTCCACGTGTAGCACCCCAAGCGCCCCCCTAAACCCTAGACCGCCTAGACCCGCTGGCCAGAAGCCCCCCAAGCCAGTCGGACTAAGGCAACTAGTTTTTGGGTTTATTCTGATCCTCGCCGAAGGCTGTACCGTGTTCCGACCGGTTGCTCTCCCTGCTTCACGCCAGAATTCCCAGAGACCTCCCTCTGCGCTGATTTCAGGGGGGGGGGGGGCAGGGGTCATATCCTGCTCGAGCCATTGAAATTGCATGTTGCAGGGATCTCCATAGACACATGACATCACATGACTCATTCCACTGAATGAATACAGCAGTATACGGCAGTCTCGCGAAGAATCCGGATTCGAATGGAGATCGGGATAGTTGGTGGTTTTGGTCAGGTTCATGCATTGAGGCACCTCAATATCTCGGCTTGTTTGTGTGGGCATGTCTTCATGGAGTTAACACGACAAGTCTTGCACGTTTTCCTGAGAAGTCAGACTATGAGGCTTTCATAGGCTCTAAATGGCTTTGGGGCAAGATGCGCTTCCCAAGCTTCTTCAGCACTGCATTATGCCAGCATTCTGCAAGGCCATAGCAGCCCACACGGCGCATAACAAATGATTACTTGCTTGCTTGCTTGGTTGGCTGGCGGTTGGTAGGTTGGCTGGCTGGCTGGTTCGTTGATTCATTGATCGATCGTTTGATAGATGTTGCTCGCCTTGGACATCTGTCCAGGCATTGTTGGTCATTTGCTAAAGCAGATTTTAGCAGACATGATCTTTACCGAGAATCAAAGCTGCCGATTGCAAGACAAATTTGGTTTCGCAATAACCCTACTTGCAAACTCACATGTCAAGCTGGTTTCATAGTCGAGCTTCAACATTTCTGCATGCAGCAGGGTGTAGGAAAGCGGGCTACGCAACCATCCGAAACTTCCGCATAACCTGACGCCAGGCCCCTGTGGACTGACCCTTCCCACCTTCCTGCAATTGTTTTGGAGCTCCAGGGCTTGCTCTGCAGTTTTGCCAGACATGCATTTCGTGCTGGGCTCAAGAGAATGGAAGGCGTGTTTGCTGGTCTGCTACCATCCTCAGGCTGGGGAGGCAGCAATGGCTTCACAGGGGCTTCCACTAGAAAACCCTTTCTAGATCAGGGTGAAGCATGCATACCGGAAGCTGTAACTCCAATCACCTGCAAGAACCAATGCAATGCAATGCGCTCTCTCTTCGGTGATAGGCTTTGCCTGTACGGTCATGCAAGGGTCATTAAATTTGAAGAAGAATCTTTCGATGCCGAAAGCAAAGTGCCTTTGAGCAGTCAATTGCTATGCGACATCAACAATCCAAGGCTGTCTTCTGCAACCCACAAGTGCGACCTGCATCTCTCTCAGAACGCCTGGAACACCATCTCACCTTCTTGTGGAGAGGGCCATCCACCCTCGTACAAGGTTAAATCTGCATCGTTGCTTTCGGGCGTTTTGCTTGTCATCCACAGCTTGGACCGAAGAGTTTTCAGGGTTCCTGGTGAGAGTCGCCGCCCAATGTGCGAAGCACGGACAAGTAAGTCATCCTCCGAACTTGTTCGCGTTGGAAAAGGCAGTGCCACTTCTAAAAAGACAGCCGCGAGTACACTTCGATAAGCCGCTCCATCCTCGTCAGCTTCGGTCGTTGGCAGCGATGAATTCCCCACAAAGCCTTCATCCAATATCACTGGCAAGACCGAACAGGAGAGGAGGAAGCGCGCTTTCAAAATGCACTTCTTGATAAATTGAGTAGCAAAGCAATTCTCCGAGCATATCAAAACTATTGCCGTGGGCTGAATTTGCTCCAGTCGGATGTCCGGGGTTTCCGGAGGGAGCACCATAACCGGTGTGCCACGATCCATCATGATTGGTGCCAGGAAGCGTGTCAGTACATAGGCTGACGCTAGGGCTTCTGCATTTTCGTGGTCTACCACAACGCAAGCCCCTGCGCTTGTGAGCGCCATGTCGCTTATACTGTTGTTCCCGGTGTGTGTCAGCTCAGTAACCAGCCCACATATACTCGCTGCAGAGATCCTCTCCACCGCTATCGTTTTCAAAGAAGCAAGCCAGTGCAACGATGCTTTTACTTCAGACACGCCGTACCCATAGGTTGTAAGTTCCAAGATGTTTGGCACAATGGTAGAAATTTCCCTGATGAAGCTTTCCTCGGGAAGGTTGAAGTTCGGCAAACTTACAAGAATGGACGGCACCTTCGAGAGTCTTGCCGTCGTTATCTCTCCCAAGCACCACTTCCGGGCAACGATGCCGGGACTGCCGAGAATCACAAAGTTCTGCGTGTGAGTACCTGAAGACGCTGCTGGAAAGCATGATCAACAAGAGAATGGCGCATCAATGTCTAGGAACCAAGAGAATCAGGGCTACTGCACTCCATCCAGAGAGACTCACATAGGAGAAGAGCTCCGTGAGATCGGTCAGACTGTCCAGGTCAAGGAAGGTTGTGAAGTTGGCACCACGGCCTCATCACACCCACACGATCCCACGCAGGTCCCCGAGCATGCCTTCTGGTGGCACTCTCCCACAGCAGGTACACGCAGTGGGTGCGGGAAGCTGGCAACAGCTTCAACACGTGTCTCAACGCAGTTCAACATCGGGTGCCCTTATCACTTTCAAGCCTAAGGACTTTCACACGGAGAGAGGGACTAACGACAACTTTGCATGTGACATCCATAGCATTTGGGACTTTATTCCTCGAAATGTCAAGTTTCATCGGGACGAACAAAACCGGCTGCTCATCAGGAGGTTGTTTGCCACCATGGAGGTAGTGGTAAGTGAATGCATACGTAATGAAGCATGCTCACATATATCTAGTACACCGGCATGTGGGCGGTACCAGATTCTCACAACTACGGTACGTAATCTGGACTCGCGCAATGCACTCAGCACATAACAGCACAAAGCTACACCGACGACGGACAAGAATTGAAGGCGTGCTGCTCATGCTGTTCATTCAGCAGCCAACCAAACCGGACGGCTGGGCCCACGTATGACATTGCGACATAGATGCGGCGTAACTGTTGGATGTTTGACCAGTCGTACTAGACTCAATAGGCCTGCACGGGTCAACAGGATGACCATGATAAAAGTTGTGCTTGTCACCGTTCACCACGATAACCGAGTATGAACGTGCGTGAACTTACCACAGGCATATAAAGAAAGCTCTTTAGGTGCAGATGCGGCATAATGGTATCAACAGGTGCACAAAAGCGGTGCTTTCACGAAGAACCCTTCACTCGCGCAGTGTCTTGGGACAGCTGGACGGCATCAGTCGGGTTCGACGAGGCTTGACTAGAGTGGCTAGGATTGAGTAGAGCAGTGTTGCGGACTGTCGCAAGAATCGACTCACGCATGTGTTGGGCCTTGAAGTTCCATCTTCAACCATCGTGCCAGCGAAGCTGTCGTCGCTTTCTGGTGACACATGAAGAAGCTAAATGGCTTCCGCAACCTGGACTTCATGTATTGCACCAGGGAGCACACCGCGGCTAACAGTATGACCATCACTAAGAGAAAGGCGGCAACGGTGCAGAAGATCATCACTGAAGGATCGTCGTGATCTGGGACGCTCAAACCACTCAACAACAAAATCATGAGCAGCACAGCATGCCCGAAGACGTCGACCTGGGTACCGAGAACAGTGCGCCACGGCTGCCAATAAGCTACTACGGCCACGCTTATGGTCAAGAGCGACCCCATCACCAGAAGGCTTATTGGTGTAGAAGTAAACATAGGTGTGATCGGCAGGAGCATGTTGCGCAGCAAGAAAACCACTGTGAAGCCTTCATGGCCTGTCCTGAACCTCATCGTCAAGAATGAGGTCGTCCGGACAAATTCGGTGTCTCCTTTGGCCACGCGCCTGGGAAGCTCTTTGGCAATGATCCAAGTGGACAGCGCCAAGAAGCCCAAAGGAATCAGAAGTATCACTCCGCCGACAATGCACAAGCTCAAATGTTGCCCCGTGAGGTCGCAGAAGACACCATGTTCGGTCTGCATGGTGGCAAGACCATTTGGATTCACATTGCATCGGAACGGTTCCAAGCAGATAAAACACATCATGATAAAGAAAAGTAAGCACAAAGATCCCAAAGTCCCGAAAAGCCACGCAATTCTAGGTGCTTCTTGCGGGCGACGCCTTTGGGCTGCAAGCACGAAGCCGGCGTGCGACATGCTGGGCCCCACCGCAAAAAACATGGGGACCAGAAGGGTGCGAGCAAGGAAACTTGCTTCTGGCGTCAACCTTGTGAAGCAGTTGATGCTAGACAGCGAGCTCAATATTGTCTGAAGCGAGAAAACGTCGAAGAACTCCAAGAAACTCACGAAAGGATCAGCCCAATTTACTGCCTGTATCTGTCGCATCACGGCAAAGAACTGTGCAAAGGTGATCAAATGGCTCCAGCACAGGGCTGCTGTCACAAGCTTGCTTTGCAGGCGATTACTGCCATGGCCACCGACAAAGAACAAGACGTGCAAGGTGGCAGTGGCAGCAATGACCAGCAGACCGTATGCAACCAAACGCAAATAATCGCCGCCTGAGCATTCTTTGCATTCTGCACCACCGGGTTGCAACCCAAACAAACAGTCACTGCAACCAGGGCTGCTAGCATCCCTTCCAGCTGCACAAGATCCTGGCAGACCTCCTGGGCACCGTTCGGGGATACCGAAGCACTTGTACACTAGTCCCGGTTCATCGGACTTGCAATGAAAACCAGGGAGGACTTTTAAAGCATTTGATCCCGGACACGTAGTTCCGACTCCACACAGGATGCACTGGTCATTCTGCAGAAAGCTCCCTGGAGCACACCGGCAGTCGGAAGCGGACTTGGCCCCTTGGATTTCCATCCACTCGTCCTCCACAAGAGCTGTTGTAGTTCTCTCAGTGTCATTTCCGCAACTCAAGCACGAGCTCATTCCAAGAGTTTCAGCAAAGGAGCCACGGGGACAAGGTGAGCACAAGTCTTGACCGGGACTTCTGGCGAACATGCCAGGGTCACAAGCTTCACACGAAGCTTTGCCACGCGTGTTTTGGTGCGTGCCGGGTGGGCACTGGGCGCATCGGTGAGTATGTCCTACCGGATCCACCATGAATAGAGAGAACCTCCCTGCAGGACAAAGGCTGCATGAAACTGCTTGCTCGCGAGAGTCTACCTGCACAGGGGACATCTGACACACCCCAATAAACCCTGGTCACAACAAGAAGGACTCATCAGAATCTGTGATTGTGACCATCTGGAATGCACAGTGTTTACGCCGCAATACGCACATGCAGATGAGATGCCCAGGCTTATCTTAGCATGCAGGTTACTACGACATACTACTACACGAAAAAGAAAGTCAGGCTTAGTCCAGGAAACCAATGAAAACCGATTCGAGGTACAGGGTCATCTTGCTCGTTCACCAAGCCAAATCCGAGGATGCAGTTTGTTTCAATCGGGAGCCACGCTTCCCAAATATGCCGGTTTGACTTGGCCCATTTTCACATTTGCCTGCGAGCTTCAGCCTGATTTGTGAAGAAGACGTCCCCAAGCTGCTGGCCATCTAAGGTCGGCAAGGCGATTGAATTTGCCAAGCTCAGGATAGTCTGCTCGCTGGTCGCAACTCTTTGGACCAATCCCCTGACTCGAGGCGCAAAGCGTGCCAGCAACGAGCTCCCATATTTAATAAATTGGGTACCTTCCGCTGCCGTCCTGAGATTGCCCTGCACATATTCCGAGGCATTGTGCCGTGGAAGCACAAGCCTGGACACCTGCAAGTCCGTTAGCTCGCCTTCATCTGGCTCCCACCAATAGTGCAAAATGTCATATTTCCGGAGCAGTTCCTGAAATTTTATGAAATTTGGCGGCCGTCCAAATGCAAAAGGAAGATTGTGAGCAGTCGCCCAATGCAGCATGTTGGCCAAAGTTCCGAAAGCCGATAAGACTGGAATGCACTCAGAGGCGTTGCTTCGACACGCAGGGGACAGCCAAAAGCGTCCGTCAGGGCATTTGGCCGCGTATCCGTCTGATGTCTCGATAACTCCATCAATATCTCCCGTCCAAAGCACATAATTCGACCAAACTGGCCCATTTGTGAAATCGTCTCCATAAGTCGTGGAATCGTTACACAAGATAAAGTCCTCCACATCAAGGTCTGACAAGCCATCAAAGAATTGGTGTGGGCGATGGACTCTCGAGTTGTAGTTCTTGTAATACTCCAAAGGCAGAGCTGCTTCTCGAAATGCTTCATCTCGAATCGAACCTTTCAAGTAAATACCCCAACTGAAGGTGTATCCCATCCCGCCCAAGTTTTCCGGAACTCGCTCAGGATGCGCGGATCTGAACAACTCCAGCGTCTCCGCGTCTCCAGGACATGCATCTACGATGATATGCACTGCATCAACTGTTTCATTGCATGCTGCTGTTGCGCAGCCTGCAAGTTTGAAGACGAGATCCTGATTGGAAGGGAATCCCAAGAATTCAATAGGTGCCATGTCATATCCAAGCTTCTCCGAGATAATCAAATCCAAAAGCACACTGAGCTGGACTGCCAAGTTCCATCTGAAGGACCCAATTCGAATTGGTATTGGCGCTCCCCGCACATCTACGATGGACTGTCTGCTAGTTGCAGGAACCGCATCAGGGAAGCAAAGTTCCGCTGCAGAATCGACACTACCGCAAGCCAAACATATAAGAATCGAACGCAAGATCATCGCCGCGACGACGGACAATCAGCAAAACTACTAAAATCAATCGGGTTCGAGCATGGCAGCTTCGATTGCCATGGCATACATCGCCCTCCCGTCTCGTGATTGGAGCGCGGGATGCTGTAGCATTGGATGCAAAACCCATGTCCCAAGTTTGCCTGCTGATAAAGGAGTTGCTGCTCTTTTTCCCTCTTGGTCCAAGCCTGTGGCTCGAAGATTCTCCGAATTAGGTACCGCACCAGTTCATGACGAATCGCATGTGACTCGTCACATCACGTGGTGCGGCTAGGAGTAGCATTCCGAATTATGCTGAGCCGTGAAGGGCTCAACAGCTCCAGATCAGGCTGCAGAGCGGGTCGGCAAAAATCTGTCTTCACACAGCTCTGCCTTGGCAGCAGGGCTGACCGGCGTTTCCAGTTCCACCTTCCCCCGACTTCGCCCATTTCCTTCGGGAGAGCGGCCATCAATCCGGATGTGTCGCGGTCAAGCTTTGACTTCGCAGCCTCCAGAAGAGAATCTGCACACAAGAAGGTCGCTGCCCAGAGTGCCTCCATGCGGGCAGACATGGCCATGTTGCTGTCTGCCTGCAGCAGGATGATACAGCAATCATATACACCTCCCGCAGATTACGAACATTTGCTGTACCTGCTTCTTGTTGCAGAGTTCTTGTTGCTCGATCTGGCTCCTGAGAGCAGGATTGGCATGACGAAGCGGTTGCCGACTTGCACGGCATTCGTGGCGACACGTGCTTTTTCGTGTCCTCAGCATCTGAAGCCTTCCCCGCTTCTCCTGGATACGAACCGAGTCCTGGCATCGCGGACAGAATATGCATACTGGCTGTGTGCTGTACAGCAAGTGCTTCTCGTGAAGATCGCAGTGGGTGGGAAGCCGCAGCAAACTCCCAACTGCTTGGCCTGCAGATCTGCCATTGCTTGCGACATGTCATCGGCCTCGATCACGGGATGTCGCACACAAGGCCAGTGTCGGTATCAGGTTTGATCACGAGCAGAATCAAGAATACACCGCAGGACCTTCCAGGGTTCAGCGAAGTCCACCCTGCATGGAGCGCAAACTCCTTCCGAAGCCTCTTGTGCAAACCTTTCCCTTGAAGTTCTGGCAGGACCATCTGCAGTGCTAACCACCCATCTACGGGTTTGCCGCACCGGCGTGTTCCACAAGCGATGTATATGGGCCTGAGCCCAACGGCAAGTCAATCGACATTTCGTTTCAGCACAAACTTCGTACAAAGCCAAGTTAGTTGTCTTGCATGGTACATACTATGGTACATGACATGACATGACATGACATGACATGACATGACAGGCTATGGTATGCTATGGTTGACCTCGAACTTCATCTTGCTGCCGTCGCAGGCAGCTACCCTACACTGCTTTTCTGCAAACGGCCAAAACAAAGAAGAAAGTCCGTCGCATTCCCATCCCTTTAGAGGCACGATGTCTCACTGGCGCCGCTACGGCCGCACAACAACGCCTTGACCAGTGATTCATCCCGTTGATGAAACCGCCGTACGAAGTGGATCCTGTCCGAAGCTTAATGGCTATTTTGGCCAATAAAGCCGTAACAGCCCCGAGCAATCATTGCTCGGCATGCCCTAGGTGAGAGTTCGTGCCAATCGAGCCACAAACATGTCTGGCATCGCAGTGTGGCAAAGCACTGTAACCATCAACTCATTTTCAACTTCCGATAACATCTACACAAATATTGCAGCTAAAAACTGTCAGCGCCTAGGTGATCAAGTCCAAAATGTTGGAGACAGAAAAGTTCTGAAAAGAACTAGTCTATCGCCCAGGGGGAATCGGCTTATCATTGCACAGGGCAGCTGTTTGTTCATGTGCGTGGCACACGGCGTCCGCAAGCTCTACCTTGACTGAAGCTTGGTTCAAGCTAACTCATGGAGCCGCGGCTCTGGGATTGTGTTTACACGGAGCCGCACTGGTTACGAGCTCATTCCGCGTCAAAATGGTCAACTTGAAGGCTTCTGACTACAACGAGGTTTTCTGAGTTTTGCTGCCATATGTTATTTGTAGCTACTGCTTTGAAGCCTCTGTAGAAAGAGTCTTGCCCGTTGCTAGATACATCGTGCTAAATGATAATGAGTCGGAGGAACACTACCTTAAGCAAAACTCTTAGAGTCTTAGCGTAGTGCACCCGGAGTTGCCTAAAAGTCGATGGAAAGGACTTTGGAGAAACCGACGTATTTTCTGTATCCGCGGGTGGGCTGCACCGCTGCCTCAGGCGATGCTGCTTTGGACTCTCGATGCTCGTTTAGTTTGCCTGTCCCACCAAGAGTTTTCTCTTGAACCTCTTTTTTCCGACATGTTATGAGGGTCAGCGCCGGCGGTCGTCACACGCATCATACTAATTCCTTGCAACAAAGTATCAACATAAAGATGTTTTAGTACAACAATGCTAAGCTTTATAAGCCCCCGAGCTGCCATGAAATTCGCCTCGACCTCGGCCGCCCCATCCCCTCCTCGCCCCGTGTGCGGCTTCAATGGGGTAGCTGCAACCATGGGTTTTCACTCCTATAGTATTTAGCTAGTATACGCAAATTGCGATTATATCCCACGTGGGTTGTTTGGGTGGTTCCCGGCCCCTATCCAATAATTTAATTGGGGCCGGGAATTAAATACTTTACATAACTTAAGTAATCGAAATATTGCTGAAGGCCTCCGGACCCCCTCCGGAGCCCCTCCCGAGGTTTTACATTTTTTAAACTGACTAAATTATTTAATTGGGGCCGGTAATTAGATAATGTAAATAATTCAGATAATCTAAATATTGGGGAAGGCCTCCGCGCCCCTTCATTGTTCAAATTATTTCATTGGGGCCGGGAATTAAATAGTTTAATCTGTTTAAATAATGTAAGTAAGTATTGGGGACGGCCTCTGGACCCCGCCGTCCGAAGCCCCTCCACAGGAATTCAATTTTTTATACTATTTATTTTCTTTAAAATTATTGGGAATGAAATAACTTACATAATTTATATATTTTGGAAGGCCTCCGAACCCCCTCCGGAGCTTCTCCCCAGGATTTAAATTATTTCAGTGGAGGGCGGGTTGGGAGGGAGGCAGGGGGCAGGGGCACGCCAGCCCGCCCGGCCACCCCAGCCACCCCACCCCACCCACACCCAACACGCAAGGGCGGTTCGATAGCACCGCATTTTCGGAAGGGTTTCCCTTCAGAAAATTTGGTGCTATCGAAAGCACCAAATTTTCTGAAGGGTGTCTTTTCAGAAAAATTGGTGCTATCGAACCGCTGCGCTGCTGTGTTATCCATTGCGAATACTGACAACACACAGGGGCGGTTCGATAGCACCAAAATGGTGGTTTTGTTTCAGAAAACTGGGTGCTATCGAACCGCTGCGCTGCTGTGTTATCCATTGCAAATACTGACAACAAACAGTGTTGGTTCGATAGCACCAAATTTTCGGAAGAGTTTCTTTTCAAAAACTTGGGTGCTATCGAACCGCTGCGCTGCTATGTTATCCATTGCAAACACTGACAACGAACAGGGGCGGTTCGATAGCACCA